ACTTACTATTTGGGATCTTAAGGACAGATAATATTGATTCTGCTTAAGACATGTGGAATGAGATATAGGACTTCTCTGAAGAGACTCATTTATGCAACAAATACTGATTGAATACCTATGTGGGAAGCACTCATTTCAGTATTATGAATACAATGGTCATCAAAACCAGACATCGCCTCTATCCTCAGTCTAATGGTTGAGATACATAAAATAAATAACACAAATAAGTCTAGAGTCAAAACTGATAAAGGTAGTGGTGGTGAAGGCCACAGTGAAATTAACATGCATGGAATCATTAGAGTTCTCCTGAAGAACTGAGTATTAAGCAGAAATAAGAATATAGTAAAAGACGTACTTCACCAGGGTAGAGCAGTTATTTAAGTCAGAGGACTCATAACATGTAAAGGATTGAGTTGGGAAGAAGCATGTTTGAGAAACTGAAAGGAAAGGAACCTGGGGCAGAAAGAACTAGAAGACAACTTATGGAAGACAAAAAGCAGGTAGAGGCCTGATCGTACAAATCCTTCTAAAACACTTAAGAATTTTGTTCATTATCTTCAGAGCGATGGAAAAAAACTGAAAGGCTTTAACTTGAAGGAGGACACTATCATCAGAAGTGCTTTTTGTATAATAAAAAATTACTGATTATGGATTGAAAGAGACAGGAGTAGATACAAAAAGGAGCAGTTGGGACAGGACTGTTTCTGTGGATAAGAGGCAACATTCACCTTGTATTTAATGTTGTCTTTACTGGTTGCTCTGCATTACCTACCTACCAGCAATGTATAATGGTTGTAGTTTCACCATATCCTTGCCAACACTTATTTTTTGTCTTTCTAATTAAAGCCATTCTAGTGTGCAAAAAAATGATATGTCTTCATAGTTTTGATTTGCATTTCTCTACTGAATAATTATACTGAGTATCTCTTTTTGTGCTTATTGGTCTTTTGCATATTTTCTTTGGTGAAATGCCTATTTAAATCTCTTTCCCACTTTTATATGAGGTTGTTTTCTTATTAAATTGTAACCGTTTTTGAATTTATTCTGGGTACGAGTTCTTTATTAGATATATAATTTACAAATATTTTCTCCCAATTTATGGCATGGTCTTTTCATTTTCATGATAGTCTCTGGAAGTATAACGATTTTTAATTTTGATGAAGTCCAATTTATCAATTTTACCATTCACTACATATGCTTTTGGCATTATATTTAAGAAATCATCCCCTAGCCCAAGTTCATGAAAACTTACCCCTAAATTTTCTTCTAAGTGTTGACAGTTTTAGTTTACATTTTTGTCTATGATTCGAGTTAGGCCTTTTGTTTGTCTGGTGTGAATCAGTAGTCCAAATTCATCTTTTACATGCAGATATCTAATTGTCCCAGCACTATTTGTTGAATGTTTGTTTTAAAAAGCCAAATAAACTCCAAGTCCAACTGATTGACACTATCTCATAGTTGCATTCAAAGAAGTCAATGCAGCACCCAAAAAAATCTAGTTATCTACTCTTCCCTGGCTAAATGTGAGGCTTAGTGCATAGTAAAGACACACAAAAGTCTGGAATAAAGTGAAAGCCAAAACTAAAGGAATCACATTTAAAGAATTAAAGGAAAATACAACAAAGACAATGATTTCTCAAATAGAAAAATCAATAAAGAGATAGAAATTAAAAAGAATCAAATGTCAGTTCCATAGTTGAAGGTACAATAATTCAAATAAAAAATTTACTAAAGGGGCTGGCTTAACAGAAGATTTAAGCTGGCAAAAAAAGAATCGGAGAATTTTAAGATAGATAAACAGAAATTATCCACTCTGAAGAAGAAAAAGTAAAAAGAATGAAGTGAAATGGACAGAACCCCAGAGATCTGTGAATACCACTAAGCATGTGAATATATGTATGATAGTAGCCTCAAAGAGAAGAAAGAGAAAGACAGATAAAATATTCAAGAAATATTTTTATATTTGGTTTAAAACATCAATTTATACATCCAAAGCTTAATGAACCCCAGGGAAGATAAACATAAAAAGATGACACCTGGCAAAAACCTAGTCAAACTGTTAAAAGTCACAGATAAAGATAAAATCTGAAAGCAACAAGAGAAAAATAAGTCAGCATACAGGGAAACCAAAATAGGATTACAAACTGACTTATCTTTAGAAGCAATGGAGGCTAGTAGGCAGTAGAAAGACAATATAAAAAGTGTGTATAAGAACAAAAACCAAAACCTGTCAACCAAGACACCTCTATTGGCAAAACCACACTTCAGAAATGAAGTTGAAACAGAGAAATTCCCAAAGAAAGACTGAGGTAATATGTTGCTTTCAGACCTGCCTTTCCAAAAATACTAAAAAATTACTCCGGGCTGAAAGACAATGATATCAGATGGTTACTTCAGTCCACATAAGGAAACAGAGCATCTGAATATGTAATTATATAGGAAGGTAAATGTAAAATGCTGCATAGATATACCTTTTTTTCTTTTCTTCTCTTAGTTACTTAAAAGTCAATAGCATTAAAAATTATAAATCTGTATTTTGGGGCTTATACTGTGTTAAATATAATAGGTATGACAATTTCACAATGAAAGGAGAAGAAATAGAGCTATATTGGATCAAACTTTCTATGTTTTACTTGATTAAATTAGTTTTCATCACAAGGCATTATAAGAAATAAAGATGCATATTATAATTCCTAGGCAAATTACTAAGACACACTTTGGATTCAAATACACAATTAAGTTGAATGTCAAATGATGTAAACATTTATACTATGCAAACAGTAAACATAGATAAATGAAATGGCCACATATCAGAAAAAGTAAACTGAGGCAAAAATATTACTAGAGACAAAGAGGGTCACTTTAGAGTAATGAAAATATTAATGAGGAAGTTATAACAATTATAAATATATGTACTTAAAATAGTGAACAGAATATATGCACACACAAACACTCTCACAAACTGAATGAATTTAAGAGAGAAACAGATAATGCAAAATAATAGTTGAATTCACCATTCCATCTCGGTAATCGAGAGTACTGAAGAAAATCAGCAAGAAAAGAGAAGACTTATATCAATCAATTTCACCTAACTGACATTTACAGAACACTACGAGGAGCAATAGCAGAATATACATTCTTTTTATGTGCACATGATTTAGTCTCAATCAATTTAAAAGGGATGAAATGCAAAATACTTTAACTTCAATAGAATTTTTAAAGGTAGAAACTATATGAAGTGTATTCTCAGGCCACAGTCAAATTAAATTAGAAATAAACAAGAAAGTTATTTGGAAAAATTCCTAATATGTGAAAATTGATCCACATACTTAATAACCAATGGATCCAAGAGCAATCTCAAGGGAATTTATAAAAATTGTAAACTGAATGAAAATACAACCTATCAAATTTTTTGGAATACAGCTAAAACATCGATTAGAGGACAATTTATAGCATTGAATGTTTACGTTTGAAAAAGAAAAGTATCTCAAACCAATAATCTAAACTTGCGTCATAAGAATCCAAGAAAAGAATAGCAAACTTAACTCAAAGGTAAGAGGAGGAAGCATATAGAAGACTACTATTAGGTAAGCCTAGAGAAATCAGTTTGGACTTAGATCCTAATAGAAAATACAAGCTTTGCTTTGAAAACCACAAAATTCTTCCTACTGTTTTTTGCCATCTATTTGCTGGGAGTGCCTAGTTGACTATAAAGTATTTTTATCTAGGCACTCATTTTTCCCCAACAGTAACCAGTATTAGCTATCAGAATTAACTACTTTAAAAGAGAGACAATTGGACTGACTTAACACTTGGTGAATTAGCCATGCCACAGGAAGAGCAGGGTTATGATTCTTCACTCAGGGAGAAGAAAATATAATCCTAACACACTATTTGGCTATACCATGAGCAGAATTTATATTGATAGAGCAACGTAAACACCGTTTTTTTTTTTTTTTTAACTTTTACAGCATATAGCCAAAGCACATAAGACATAATTATAGTCACAGATTAAAATGCAAATATTTATCACTTTGATAATGTAGAAGTTGGCAGATTATATGTGGGACGAGAGGTAGAAGGGGGTAATATACTCATTTTACAATGAGGGGAATGAAGAAGTATCAGAATTTATTCAGCAAGAAGTAGAGTACATTACATGAAAGTATAAATGTGATCATTAAAAAACTAAACAGAAAATGTAGCATCTATCACAATAGGGTGGGTAGAGACTCAGAGTGCTTTAAAGGAGTAAAATTATCCCATTTTATACTGGAGAGTTATTTTTTAAACTAACAAATCCATGTTTGTATTTTATTTAAAATTATTGAAGTAACCCGAGGAACACATAAAAAAAACAGAAGCAGTTAAGATAGATCATTTACGGGAAATAGACTAGAGATGGGAAGGAGCAGGATAGGAATTGTTATCTTTCATTCACAGCCCTATTGTTTAATTTTACTTTTATCATGTGCAGCCTGTATTATTTAAATTAAATAACAAATAAAACCAACAAGTATAGACTCCATCAATGGTTCTGAAGCTCACCTCCCGGGTAAGGTATGTCTCACAGCTCAAGAGCAGAAAAAAATCAACCATTGTGCGGCTGATACGGGTAGATTAAACTGTGTTTCATGGGCTACACTTGTGTCATTATTCCTTAAGAGCTGTGAATCTATTTCTCCCTCTCTCTCATGTTATAGCTAAAGAAACTATAGCCCAGATCAAGCAATGCTAATAGTCACTGAGGACTAGAGCATCAGTCTCCTAACCCCCCAGATTGTCCTCATGCTATGTACAAATACACTTAAATCTCACAAATTCTTACTGTACATACTAAGGAAAGGAACTCTCTTATTGGTGATTGCTTTGGTTTGGGTTTCCCAAAAAGCAGAGCCCAAGAAAAGTAACGTATTTGTGAGTGAGCCCTAAAGCAGAAGGGAAGGAGAAGAGTGCAGAAAAGTGGAAAAGCCGCCAATAACGTGTGACATCGAGATTACCTGGTAGGGAATGAGGGCTCAGTTTCAGCAGTTCTTCCCAGGAAGTGAACTGACTTTCTGGGATTGTCAGCCCAGGGAAGAGGAGGCTGGAACATTTGTACCAGCTGACCTCACCAGTGCTTAAGGACTGTCACAAGGGCAGTAGCTTTTTCAAGCTTCCAGGCTGGGCTTACACACTCCTGCAACGATAGAAAAGTCTCTGGGTCAGAATCCAGAAGGTTAGATGTTGAATGCTTAGTAGAACTTTGTTGGGGCACTTAAAACTCCATCATTCCTCTTAGCTGAAATCGGAGGCTCAGAAAGGAATGTCACATGACATGGGGCAACAGAGGCATCTGCTAGGATCTCAGTAAATAAAGGCTCTTACTTTTGGCATGATTTAGAATGATTTATAGCCAATTCTGCTACATCTCTATTCCAGCATGTATTTTACAAAATAAATTGTCAGACATTTAGGCTGTTTTTATATATGAGTACTTCATTACCATGAAGAAGGCATCAGTCTTCTGTTTGTCTACTGGTTATTTGAAATCCTCTTGAGATGTTATTTTTCAATATATATCGTAAACTGAATTTCCCTTGAATGCTCTTTACTGACATATGACTATCCTGAAGAGAAGCACAAAAATTTCACAAACCCATATTTCTTTTTTGACACTCTACTCTTCCCACAGGCTATGTTAGTCTAGTAATAAAGCAAATAATGCTTTACTAAATGCTATTTATGCTGATTATACAGTTATTCACTAAGTGGCCTTTGACACACGATTCTCATACATTTTATATTCATTGCATATAATGTCATATGCACACACGTCACATATTTTATGGGAGAGTTTAATATGCTCACTTAAACAGATGTTTGCACGGAAGTTAAGCCTATTTGCAAATAGGCCATATAAAGATATATCATACTTTCATGTAGTACCACATTTTTTTAATCTCTCAGAAATTTTTCATCATGTTTGGGAGTTAATATGCTCTTCTTGGTTAAAAGTTAATTCCTATCCAAGATAATATTATTTTGATGAATATTTCTATTTTAAACGAAGGCTGTTTCATGTCCTGGGGGCAGGAGGGAGGCTGGTAATTACTGCACTTTAGAAATTTAGTTAACAAATAATGAAAGCCTGCTCTCGTGTCTATATGAAGATGCTGGTGCTGCCAGACCATCAATTGTCACAGGCTTTGTCATTTTTTTTTTTCTTCCTCACTAGTGCTGACAGACAGACCCACATTTATCCAAACTCAGCTTTCTTTCCTATGACCAATGGCAAAGCATTGTCAGATGTGTTGAACCCTAAGCTCCTTTCCAGCTCTAACATCCTACCCTTCCATCTTAGATTTATGAGGTGGTTGGCTAGAGTCAGAGGCATAATCTATCCTTACTGAATAGAGAAAAATTTGTAGACTAGACAGGAACTGCATCCATTGTCTCACTAATATCATATCCCCAAACACAGAATATTAATACAAGTTCTCAGTGGCTTTCCTGATTAAAATAACCTGCTATGTCCAAAAGAGAAAAAGTGCACAGCTTATTGACAGATGATTTGTTCTGCACAAAGCCAGCAAGACTCTTTATAGCCAATATGTTTTGGGTAAATATAAGTTTCAAGTAGAGCAATATCTATGCTCATTTATTCTTCTTTATTATTTCCTCTAGTTTTGACTATAGAATTTTATTTGTCTTAGTTCTATATTTTAAAATTATAATTTATGTTTTTGTAATGAGTATAGTCTAATTCTAAGTTGCCAAAGATCATGTGTGGACTGATATAAAAATTTTAAAAAGAAAAAGAAGGGGAAAAGGAAGGGAATGAAAGGGAAGGGAAGGGGGAGGGGAAGGGGGAGGGAGGGGAGGAAAGAAAAAGAAAAAGAAATGAGAGGGAAGGAAGGAGAAAGAAAGGACACATCAACAATTCTTACTGCAAATTGCCCTAGTGCTTAGAGAAAATTACAATTTCCTATTAATGTCAGGAAAGATAAAGATAGTGAGGGGAAGAGACGGATAAAAACCCAGGGAAGACAGATGCCAAGTACAGTTTTTAGAACTATGAAAAGGTAACTCCTGCTCTTGTAGATGGAAATCGTATTCTTTCTAAGAGAGTAAGTATAATAAACAAATTGCACTTTAACATCATTACTCTGTAAAGGCGATCACAGATTGACAAGTGTTACCAAAACTGACTTCAAAAATGATGACTTCAAAATTTAATTTCAGCTGTTAGAAGGGGAACAAAGAAGATATAAAAAATAGACCAGTGAAGATTCTTCTTTTTCTTGGGAAATGGTTCCAAGGACACTACAATCTCCCTAACAACTCAGGAAGGTTTCCTACAACCTGCATTTTGGAAGATCGTCTATCATTTCAGGGAACACACTCCCCACAGCCTGCTCAGAAAGCACTCGCTTGGTCACTTGCAACCAGAGCTGCTTGAAGCACAGTAAGAGAGCACTGGCCCACCCTCCCCCACTGCATCATGTCGGGAGTGTGTGGCTGCAAATTACAGGTGTCCACACAGCTGCATACTCTTTTAAAACTACTTTTCTATCTGCTGCCAGTGACTGTAAATTTAATGAGAGCACCTGCTGCCCTCTTACTTAGTTAATTCATAGTGATCTGCCTGAACTAAAGGAAATTTCAGAAAAGCCTCTGTTCTTCAATAACAAATTACCAGTCTCTACTTTGGCCTGAAGGGTCTTTGATTCATGTCATATTACACTTACACTAAGCACTGATGACAGTGGACACATTTAGTTTTTCTAAGTAGTGTTGGGGCTAGGGAACAGGAAATGACTACTAAGATTAAATAAAATGAGAAGATCAATTGTCTGCCTGAATATTGACAGCTGGGGAACTAGTCATCCTTGACCTCAGACATGAGGTATTTTTTCACTGAGGGGTAAAAGCACTAGCTAATAATATTTTTGCCATAGTGATTGGCAGAGTGCAATAAAAATGTAATATCATTTACTTTTTGAAAATAATTTAAAGCAATACAATAGAACAAAGATAGCCTTTCAACAAATGACTCTGGAACAACTGGACTGTCATATGCAAAAATGAATAAATAAATCTAATGAAAAATCTTACACCCTTCAAAAAAATTAACTTAAAATGGATCATACACTGAATGTAAAACACAAAACCATTAAACTCCTAGAAGATAACATAGGAGAATATCTAGATGAACTTGGGTTTAACAATGACTTTTTAGATGTAACACAAAAGGCACAATCCATGAATGAAAGAATTGATAACCTGAACTTCAAAATTAAAATTTTAAATGTCTTCTCTGTGAAAGACACTCTCAAGAATATGAAAAAACAATCCACAGATGGTGAGAAAGTACTTGCAGAAAATATAGGTGATAAGGGACCGTTATCCAAAATGTACAAAGAACCCTTAAAATTCAGCATAAACAGCCCAATTGAATACTGGGCCAAAGATCTTAACAAACACCTCATCAAAGAAGATATACAAATGGCAAATAAACATGAAAAAATGTGGCACATTATATCTCATGAGGAAGTACAAATTAAAATGACAACGAGCAACTGCTACAAACCTATTAGAATAGTCAAAATCTAGAACACTGACAACACCAAATGCTATTGAGGACATGGAGCACCAGAAACTCTCATTTATTGCTGGTAGGAATGTAAAATACAACCACTTTGGAAGACAGTTTGTTATCATTCCACAAAACTGAACACACACTCTTGCCATAAGATCCAGCAATTGTGCTCTCTGGTATTTACCCAAATGAGATGTCCACACAGAAACCTGTACATAGATATTTATAGCAGCTTTATTCATAATTGCCAAAATGTGAAATCAACCAAGATATCCTTCAGTAGGTGAATGGATAAATTGGTACATCCAGACAATAGAATATTCCTCATCAAAAAGAAATGAGCTACCAAGCCATGATAAGACATGAAAGCTTCAAAGAAATTCAATCTATGTTACTAAGTGAAAGAAGCCAATCTGAAAAGATTATATATTGTATGATTCCAATTATATGACTATATGACATTCTGGAAGAGGTGAAATTATGGAGACAGTAAAAAGATCAGTGATTGCCAGGGGTTTGAGGAAAGGCAGAAATGAATAGGAAGAACAGTGAAACCATCTGTATGATACTATAATGCTGAATAAATGTAGTTACATATTTGTCCAAACCTATGCAACACCGAAGATGAATGCCAATGTAAACGTGGACTGTGGGTGGTAATGATGTGTCAATGTAGATTCATCCATTGTAACAAATACAACACTCTGGTGGGGTATGTTAATAATGGAGGAGGCTATCCATATGCATAAGGTAGGAGATATATGGAAAATTGCTATAGTTGCTTTTTTAAAATTTTGCTGTGAACCTAAAACTGCTCCAAAAATAAAGTCTATTTAAAAATTTATAGTTTGTTGCTTCAAATCTCCTTTACTTTCCAAATAACTATGATTATAACTTTTGTTTAGGCTTTATTTTAGGTTAGGAGATAATGTGAAGGTTTGTTACATAGGTAAATTCATGTTACTGGGGTTTGTTGTACATTTTGTTTCATCACCCAGGTATTAAGCCTAGTACCCAATGGTTTTTTTTCCTCTCCTCTCCTTTATCCCACCCTTCACCCTCAAGTAGATCCCAGTATCTGTTGTTCCCTTCTTTGCATTCACGAGTTCTATCATTCAGCTCCCACTTAAAAGAACATGAAGTACTTGGTTTTCAGTTCCTGTGTTAGTTTGCTAAGGATAAAGGCCTCCACCTCCATCCATGTTCTTGCAAATGAAATTATCTCATTCTTTTTAAAGGCTGCATAGTATTTCATGGTGTATATGTACTACATTTTCTTTATCCAATCTGTCATTGGTGGGCATTTAGGTTGATTCCATGTCTTTGCTATTGTGAATAGTGCTGCTGCAATGAACATTCATATGAATGTGAATTTATGGTAGAATGATTTCTATTCCTCCAGTAATGGGATTGCTGGGTTGAATGGTAGTTCTGCTTTTAGCTCTTTGAGGAATCACCATACTGCTTGCCACAATGGTTCAACTAATTTACACTCACTCCAATAGTCTTACACTCACTCCAATAAGTCTTCCCTTTTGTCCACAACCTTGCTAGCAGATGATTATAACTTTCATAAGCTAAATGTTTTTACT